GCTACCAGAGCTCCTTTGAATAGATATGATAAAAGGATGCATTCCTCAGACATACTTTTTCTGATTTTAAACCATTCAGTATTCACTAGTTCTGTTTGAATGACTATCTCTTGATCTATGTACAAGTTCCTCATGAGTACAATTAAATGTTCTCAAGTTCCCATTCTTCACAATGTTAGCCATTTTTTGTTATGTAAATTGTTGTTGTTGTTAAGTATGATCGAGTTGGTTCCAACACATAGCAATCCTGTGTAAGGACTTTGAGAAGCAGTTGAGAGATTTCAACAACCAACCTTGTGGTTAGCAGTCCAGTGCATATCCTACAGCACTACACCAGGACTCCATCATATAAGCAATAATTTGAAATAATGCATTAGTGTTCATAATACAAAATTTAATTAAAACTGTACTGGGTCTGATCAGTCATTGGAGTTATTTTCTATGTGTGAAAAATTAAGGTTTGTTAGTTTTCTTTTTCAAATTCAAGTCTATAAAGTATTTGGAAATGCATGCTAGTTATTCCCAGAATGGAGACCATCTTTTTGAGTACTGAAGGCCTACTAGATAAGAAAGAAAGAATGGTTGAACAGTCATTGGTACTACAAGTACATGATTCTCCATAGATCTGAGGGGAGTGGCACTCAAATTAAAACCACAATAGAACTTTTATAAGCTTCCTGGATGCTTACCAAATCATAGGATGAGGGAAAGAGCCTGGAGTAGAAACCCAATCCATCTGACCCCTCTTGAGTATATCCCACTAAAGTAATCCTGGTTTGAGGAATTTTTTCCTCTCTTTTAAAGCCCCTCATAGTATGACTTATACACATACAAATGTTTCATTTTGTATATGTGTGTGTGTATATTTCATTCATATAATGAAATATTTATAACATCAACATTTTTACACGTACAATTCAGTGAACTTAATTACACTCACCATGGTGTACAGCAATCACCCTATCAATTTCTAATATTTTCCCTCACCCTTAACAGAAGCTCAGTGACACCCTAAGCAAGGATTCTCCCTTTCTTAATCTCCCGTACCCTTGCTAACCACTAATAAATTTGGTCTTTATTCATTTGCCTCGTCTAGACATTTCATGTAAGTGGGATCACACAGTATTTGTCCTTCTCACATCCATCCTTTTAAGGAATCATTTGTTTTGAAAGAGTTGAAATCTTTGTCCAGATTGCTACTGAAACCTGGAAACTGTGGGTGGGAATGGAAAAGGGAGAGCCATTAGTGAGTGGGGTCACTAAGTGAAAGAGTATCATAGGGTGGCCCCTTTAGAAAGCCAGGGGGTAGCAGGAGTTTCTTCAGTACACCGTGGAGTCTAGTCAGGGAGCTCCCTGAAAGGAGGCTAGAAGGAATCGAATAAGACAGCCTACCCTCTGCCAGGGGCCCTAACAGCTGTGACTGTGGAGCACGTTTGTTCAAAACCAACCATCATGGCAGCCAAGAGCTGGTTCCTGGCAGCCTCTTACACAATTTCCTGCTCTTCTGCCCAGCAGAGCTGTCACAGATTTACCGTTTTTGTTTTTTTTGTTTTTCAATTACTAATGAATCTTTGTCTTAACAAAAACAAGCTGCCACCCAGAAGTAATTTACAGTAAATGTTTTTTTAATAGATATACTTTTGAAAATTCCCCTCAAGTAATACAATTATGTAGTGGTAAGATACTTTGAGGACTGTGGTTTTAGAATTGTATCATTTCCTCTTCATTCTGAGCTGCCATTGAAGGGAACCCTGGTGGTCAGGCCAGCCACACTCACGACCATGAAGTCTACACATTGCTGTCTAGGCTTCCTCATCGGTTTCCTCCTGACAGATGGAATAAGTAAGTACTTGATTTCTTTTTCCTTGCTCACAGCATTATCATCTGAATCTGATCCAGAAACTGTTAGAAAGAATGCACTTAGCTCTTTAGCTTTCTCTTCTCATTAAATCATCAAGACAGGGGTTAGATATGATTTGCAGTCTTAGTAATTCCACAGGTTATTATTGGGTACCTACTAAAGAGCACATAATTTAGTGGGTTTAGAACAAATATACATCCATCTCTCTCTCTCCCTTTACAATTTATTTTGTGGTTACAAATATAGACTCCTAAACCAGACTGCCTGAATATGAATTTCAATTAAACCATTGACTATCTAGGTAAACTTGAGAATTTACTTAACCTCCCTGTGCCTCCATTTATCTATCTGTAAAATGGAGGTTGTAGGTCACTGTGGAGGGTAAATGAGTTAACGAGTTGAAGTTTTTGAAGTGTTCAGAGCGGTGCACAAAGTAGAGACCGTAAACATCATGTGAGACTCTGCTGCAGCAATTCACCAAGAACTCAAGAGCTTAGAGCGTCTACACCACAGCATCTCCCTGAGCGAGGCTCTTAGAAACCTGTTTACAGATGGACACTTGTTGAGTAACTCTCCCAAGACTCTATACTTGTTTGGAGATGGATATGTAAAAGAAATTCAGATCTTTCCGCCAGGAATTCAAGTGCTGCCTAATGGTCCTGCCTCTGCATCTTAACCATCCTGTAACCTTGGGCAAGATATGGAACTTCTTTAAACCCCAGTTTCACCATTGGTAAAATGTAATAATAAAATACCTTATTTTGTTGTTGTTGAGAATTAAATAAGATGTAAAGTTTTGACCAGCTAAATTCCAAACCAAACACATGACCATTCCAACTCTAAGCAACCCTACCTAGGGTTTCTGAGACTGTAAATCTTTACAGAAACAGACATCCTCATTTTTCTCCTGCAGAACAGCTGGTAGCTTTAAACCCAGTGCTTATCCTACAGTGCTACCAAAACATAGTGCCATTAAGGAGGAGGAGGGAGAGGAAGAAGAGAGAAAAAGGAGGAGGAATGTCCTAACTCCTTAGTTGCTGTTTTCTTCTCTAGCTCCTTTGTTGATGAAGCCCATCTCAACAAAAAGGAGCTGCCACAAAGAAGTGATTAACAGCAAATGTTTTTTAAACTGAAACTCTCATGTTTTAGTTCCCCTAAAATAATGAAATAATATGTTGCTGAAACGAGATGAAATTGTAGTTGACTTGAGGATTCTTTTGCCAAGGAGATGATGTGATGGTGATAGGAAAGGCTTTGCTCTTGGTTTTCTGTGGGAGGACAGAGGCAAGCTCTAGGGTCAGCTTCGCCATTTGCTGCTGACAAGTTCTCTACAGTCTTCAAGACTCACTTTTCTAGTCTGTAAGGAGAAGTCCGCAATACTTTCTTTCTCAATGAAGAGCCAGGCAGATTAAATGAGTTAATGTGAGTAAAGGCCCTCACAGTGCCTGGAGTATAATGAGTCTGTTTTGACTATTGGTGGTGGTGGTGGTGATATTGTCATTACAAAAATATAAGCAAAAAATCTGTAGACAGAAAAGAACCAGTTATCTCCAGATTAGCAAGTCAATTCTTGACAGGTCTAGAGTTGTGCCTGTTGTTCCCTGAAAACTTGTGGAGTTTTTGTGTATTAATATAATTTCTCAGGTAGTGATATCAGTGAGTGAAATCAGCTCTTTCCATGTATATACTGTCCTATGAGACACTGAAGGAAGTCCAAAAAAACAAAATCAATCAATCAAAAAACACTATCAATATTTAGTTGGTAAAAATAAATCCCTAAGGAAACAATTTCATTTATTAAGGAAAAAAGGTCTTGAAAGATCAGAGATCAGATCGTTTGCTTAGATATTTGAACAAAGATTTGAGGGAAGCAAAGAAATAAGCCCAGGGGAAATCTAGAGAGAGAGAACAGAAAAATTGCCATCAAGTTGACTCCAACTTATGGTGACCCCAGGAGTATCAGAGTAGAACTGTGTTCCGAAGGGTCATCAGTGGCTGATTCTGAAATGCCTCTGGGTAGACTCAGCTTTTGGTTAGCAGCCAAGCACATTAGTCTGCATCACCCAGAGAGAGAACATTCCAGGAAAAGGAAAGAGCCAAGGCAGAGACTCTAAGATGGGATTCTTCCTGGTATGGTAGAGCAAGAGCAAAGTTGCCAGTCTGAGAAGCAACGTGGAGAATGATGCATAATCAGGTCAGGGAGGATAAAGAAGCAGGATCCAGAGATGGAGCCAAACCTTGAGAAGGTGGGCCTTGTATCCTATACTAAGGCTCTGCAGCCAAACATAACCAGAGGTAAAATTTTGCCCCAGAGTAATAGAAATAAAGAGGCTCTTAGGGTGGGGAGTGAGCAATCTTGTTGCAGGCCTTTCATCTCAGTCTTATATTCCATTGCCATCCAGGAAGAGGCAAAGACAATGCTTTTTCACAGCTGCTTACTCCCTCTGTAGTTTAGGAAATGAGCTGGGAGGATTTCACTTGTATGTTCCATTTATAGCATGAGTGTTCTGAAACTTTAGTGTGTGTGGAAGTCATCATCCTGAATATTCGAAATATTGATTTCTGAGCCCCATCTGCACTTATAGCAAATACTTCAGGGATTTCTGATGCAGGTATTACTTTGGAAACTGCTGCTAATAGCAATAGTGCACATATGAATGTTTAATGCTTTTGTTTCTTTTAGAAGCTCAATCAGCCCAGGAATCTCTGAAGCCCCAGAGGGTATAATTCCAGTCCTGAAATTTTCACAACATTTTGCACTGGCAGCCTGGGAAGGTGCTTACGGGCACTCACAATATCTATTTTGTTCAGTACAAAATGTAAGTAAATTGGACTTCTTCCAGTTGGCAGAGATGGTCCCTGAAATACTGTGTTCAAGAATGGAATAGAATTTTAAGATCTGTGCTTTTTTCCATATTAGAGGAGTTGAGAAGTAGAGATAAAGATTGTTGTTGTTGTTAACTGCTATCGAGTCAGTTCCAACTCATAGCGACCCTGTATAGGGTTTCCAAGGAGCAGCTGATGGGTTTGAACTGCCAACCTTGTGGTTCACAGTCCAGTGTTGATCCACAGCACCACACCAGGTAGGGATAGAAGTGACTTGTCTCCCCTGAAAGTTACCTGATGTTGAGGAGATATTTCATCCTTGGGAGATCTAATAGACAGACCTTACAGACTCTTCCTCTGGCTTCACAATGATGCCTGGCATCTGCTGGGCTTTCAATACATATTTATTGAATGAATGTTGGAAGCCATTGTTTAGCATCCAGCAGGTACTCAATTAAGTTGAACCTACTAATGATTCAAAGAGGAATTGTGGAAAACATAAGATAAAGGTATACAGTAGATGTTTTTCCTCTTAATGTCATTTTTTGCACGTTTGCTTCTTAGAGCATTCTTTTAAAAAAGCAATGACTCCTGTAAGCATGCCCACAAATTGCAACTTGTTGCTGAACTTTCCTCTTCAAACTAATCCACAGGATTGTTGCCAAACTTTTCCTGTATCAAAGACTGGGAATGGAAAGCTCTTGATCTGCAAATGGAATTTTTCCACTTAGCCATTTCCTGAGGTTTGTAATGTTAGTTTGCTTTTTGATTGTTTTTGTTTTAGGCTCTTGCTCCTCTGACATAGTTTGACATCCTGGCTGAACAATAAATAGGAGAAATTACAGTTTAGCTTCCATGACTTTTCGCTAATTTAAGAAATGAGCCAAAATAACAATTTTGGTTCAATAACTTTATCCATATGGCAGTGTTGGTTTAAAAGTCCTCTAGGATAGTATACATATTAGGTTAGAGTTTCCTATTAATTAACCTCTCTCTGGAATTCTTATCTGAAGAGTTGGCAGTTCAAACTCACCCAGAGTTTCCTTGGAAGAGAGGACTTACAATATGCTTTGGGAAGGTCACAAATATGAAAATCATACAGAGCAACTCTGCTCTGAACACATAGGGTTGACATGAGTCAGAAACATCTAGAAGGCATATCAAATAGAGGGAATATCTCCAGAAGTTTCTCAGTCTTTAACTGTTGAAGCTTTTCTCTACATATTTTCTGTAAAATTTATAAATCCTAACACCAAAGATGTCTCCATTTCAAAAATTGATTTGAGTGTAGCAAAGAAGGCTTCCAACATAAATAAAGTAGGGTGTGTTGCTCTTCACCATGGGCAGTATAATTAGGTCTAAAATCAGTAGTAATTGTATAGTGTTTCTTAGGAGTGGCTGGTGAGTTTGAGCCTCTACTTTGCAGTTCAAATTGACCTTGAGGTCTAGTTTTTAATCCTACAGTGCCAAACCAGGACTCTAGAAAAAGGGTTAGTGGATGTATTAACATGAACTGAATAGGATCACAGTGAAAGAGTTCAAAAATGTACATTTCTATGAGTTGTTTTTTTTTTAAATACCATATAGACAGGGATAGATCCAGGCATTCTGGGATATGATGTTTATACAAGTACTAATATAATTTTAAGCTAGTAATTCTTTTCTAAATCCATGGTGCAATGAAGGAATTGGCAAAGAACAAGGCACCAGGAATAGATGGAATAAAAATTGAAATCTTTCAAGAAAGTGAGGCAGCACAGGAGGCAATCACTTATATCTGCCAAGAAATTTGGAAGACAACTATCTGGACCACTGATAAGAAGAGATCTGTGTTTGTGCCCATTCCAAAGAGAGGTGACCCAACAGAATGTAGAAATCATTGAACAATCTCTTTGATATCCCATGCAAGTAAAGTTTTACTAAGGGTAATACAGAAATGGCTGCAAGCATACATTGACAGAGAACTTCCAGAGATTCAAGCCAGATTCAAAAGAGGCCGTTGAATGAGGTATATCATTGCTGATGTCCAATGGATCTTGGCTGAAAGCAGAGAATATCAGAAAGATGTTTATCTGTGCTTTATTGACTATGCAAAGGCTTTTGATTGTGTGGATGATGACAAGCTATAGATAACATTGCAAAGTATGAGTATTTCAGAACACTTAATTGTGCTCATGATGAATCTGTACCTGGACCAAGAGGCAGTTGTTCGAACAGAACATGGGAACAATGAATTGTTTTAAATTAAGAAAGGTATGCGACAAGGCTGTATTCCTTCACCATACTTATTCAACCTGTATTCTGAGGAAATAATCTGAGAAACTGGATTCTATGAAGAAAAACATGGCATCAGGATTGAAGGAAGATTCATTAACAACCTGTGATATGCAGATGATACAATCTTGCTTACTGAAAGTGAAGAGGACTTAAAACATTTACTGATGAAGATCAAAGAGCACAGCCTTTGGTATGGATTATATCTCAATGTAAAGAAAACAAAAAGCCTCACCACTGGACCAATAAACAATATCCTTATCAATGGAGAAAAGATTGAAGTTGTCAAGGACTTCATTCTTCTTGGATCAACTGTCAACACTCACGGAAGCAGCAGTCAAGAAATCAAAGGACGTATTGCATTAGGCAAATCTGCTGCACAAGACCTTTTTAAAGTGTTGAAGAGAAAAGATGTCAGCTTGAGGACTAAGGTGTGTCTGACCCAAGCCATGGTATTTTCAGTAACCTCATGTGCATGCGAAAGCTAGACAGTGAATAAGGAAGACCATAAAAGAATTGATGCTTTTGAGTTATGGTATTGGAGGAGAATATTGAAAGTGCCATGGGCTTCCAAAAGAGCCAATAGATCCATTTTGGAAGAAGTGCAGCCAGAGCGCTCCTTGGAGGCCAGGATGGCCAAACTTCGTCTCTCATACTTCTGACATATTGTCAGGAGGGACCAGTCGCTGGAAAAGGATATCAAGTTTGGTAAGGTGGAGATTCAGAGAAAAAGAGGAAGACCCCCTACAAGATGGATTGGCCAAGTGGCAGCATTGATTCACTCAAGCTTGGCAACAGTAGTGAGGTTGGCCCAGGATCAGGCAGTGTTTTGTTCTGCTGTGCATAAGGTCGCTATGAGTTGGTACCGACTCGATGGCACCTAACAACAAGAACAATAATTCTTTTCTTAAAGAGCACCCAAACTTGTGTAAATGTCACATCCCAGAATACCTAGATCTATCCCTGTCTATATGATATTTTCAAGAGCTCATGGAAATATATGTTTTTGAACCCTTTCACTGGGATCCTATTCCGTTCATGTTAATATCTGTTCTATTTAGGGAAGGACAAAAAATCAGTAATAACATTATAAGGCAAGCCACATATTACAGCTAAGTTCAGCTAACAAAGACATCTCACTAATAAATAAAAACAGAAAGATACCATATTATGGTCAAAATCTTCTGATTTAATGAATTACTGTCATCATATGGTTTCCAGAGTGAAGACACCAACAATACTTCTGTTTATATGAGGGTGCTTCAAAAAGTTCATGAAAAAAATTCATTATCTTTTTATTCCATCTTTCCCACAAACTTTTTGAAGACCCCTCATATTGTTAGGAAGTTAGATTTCAAGTCCTTCAGCAAATAATTTGGGAAGCCTTTCTCTCAAAGCCTCAAAGTCTTGTTCTCTTTCTCTACCACCATCTTGTTTTATTTGTTCTGATTTGTGGCTGGTAAGGAAATGAAGCACAAGTTTTCTCTTTTGCAGTTGCATCATCCATAGTTTCAGGCTGAAACCAATATATCTACAGCTAACCTTTGCTCCCTTGTCTCTTGGGCTATTCTCACTCTCTCCCAGCCCCAAGTTATGAATAGTTCCCAATTAAATCCCCACCATAACCCCTGCTCTCCAATCCATAAAGAGATCAACCAACTGTCTGATGTGAGTGAGCACCCCTGGAGATGAAAGTGACAGAAACTTCTCGGAATCAGCCACATGACTCAACAGCGAGATATTAAGAAGAAAAGAAAGCCACAAAGAGTTTGAACTTCAAAGGCATTAAGAATGTGGAGAACTAGTATTCAAAAATGGAAGTTATTGGTACACCTGAAGAGAATCTCTTCACTAATATTTTTTAAAATCCTTATTAGTAATACAGAAGGTGTCAAAGTTGAGTTAATCTTTCAGCAAGATAGCACTTTGGTTAACAAGAAGGAATTTTACATATATATATATTTAAGAGTATCCATAAAAAAAGAAGAAAGAGTAACTGTAAGTCTTCACAGGGTTACTAATTTTAGAAGATAAGTTTTACGCAGTCTTAAATACAAGAGTAAGTCAAAAATAATTACTAGTGTGGTTCCAGTTCATTCACAAACTAGTTTATTCCCAACAAAATGTGTTTAAACATGTCTATGATCAATGAATGGCTGCAGACTAGTTCTGTCAGTAATAGACTCCTTAATGTGACTTGCCAAAAACAAAGGCCAATCAAATTAGCGACTTCTGGGGAACCTTATAAACAAGTTTAAATTAAGACAGAGAGGTCAGCTCAGAAGTTTCTGTTGGTGGTGTTGTTAGGTGCCTTCAAGTCAGATTGCACGCATAGTGATTCTAGGCACAACAGAATGTAACACTCCCCGGTCCTGTGTCATGCTCACAATTGCTGTTATGTTGAAGCCCATTATTACTACACTAGCATCAATCCATCTTGTTTGGGGTCTTCCTTTTTATCACTGCCCCTCCACTTTTCAAGCATGACGTCCTTCTCCAGGGATGGATCACTCCTGACAACATATTCAAAGTACATGAGACAAATTCTCACCATTCATGCATCTAAAGAGCAATTTGGTTGTACTTCTTCCAAGCCAGATTTAATCTTTTTTCTGGCAGTCCATGAGACTTTCAATATTCTTCCCCAGCATCATAATTCAAATATATTGATTATTCTCTGATCTTCCTTATTCATTGTCCAACTTTGACATGCATATCACGTGAATGAAAATTTCATAGCTTGGGTTAGTGAACCTTAGTCCCTAAACTGGCATGTTTATTCTTGAATGTTTTAAAGACCTCTTTTGCAGTAGATGTGCCTAATGCAATACATAGTTTGATTTCTTGACTGTTGCTTCCATGAGTGTTGTTGATTGTGGATCCATGCAAAATGAAGTATTTGACAACACCTGTCTTTTATCCATTTATCATGATTTTATTAGTCCAGTTGTGATGATTTTTGGTTTCTTTACATTGAGTTGCAATACATACCAAAGACTGTAGTCTTTGATTTTCATTAGTAAGTATTTCAAGTCCTCTTCCTTTTCAGAATGCAAGGATGTATAATCTGCATATCGCAAGTTGTTAATAAGTCTTCCTTCAATCCTGATGTCACATTCTTCTTCATACAATCCATCTTCTTTTATTATTTGCTCAACGTATAGATTGAATAAGTATGACAAAAGGATATAACCCTGGTACACACCTTTCCTAATTTTAAACCATTCAGTATCCCCTTGTTCTGTTTGAACAGTTGCCTCTTGGTCTATGTACAGATGCTTCATGAGCACAATTAAGTGATCTGGAATACACAATGTTTTCTATAATTTGTTATGATCTGCAGAGTTTAATGACTTTGCATAGTCAATAAAGCACATATAAACAATCCTTCTGGTATTTTCTGCTCTTAGCCAAGATCCATCTGATGTCAACAATGATGTCCCTAGTTCCATATCCTCTTCTGAATCTGGCTTGAATTTCTGGCATTTGCAATCATATTTGAATAATCTTTAACAAAATTTTACTCATATGTGATATTAATTATATTGTTCAATGATTTCCACATTCCATTGTGTCACCTTTCTTTGGAATGGCCACAAATATGAGTCTTTTCCAATCAGTTGGTCAGGTAGCTCTCTTCCAAATTTCTTGGCATGAACAAATGAGGGCCAAATTTCTTGGCATGAACAACCCAGTTGAAGCATTTCAATTGGTACTCCATCAATTTCTGGAGCTTTGGTGTAAATCAATGCCTTCAGTGTGGAGTTTTTCCTTCAGTACCATCAGTTCTTGATTATGTGGTGCCTCTTGAAATGGTTGAGCATTGGCCAATTCTTTTTGGTACAGTATATTCCTTCCATCTTCTCTCATTGCTACCTGCACCATTCAATATTTTGCCCATAGAATCCTTCAGTATTGTAATCCAAGGCTTGAATTTTTTCTTCGGTTCTTTCAACTTCAGAAATGCTAAGTGCATTCTTCCCTTTTGGTTTTCTAATTCCAGATCTTTGCACATTTTATTATAATACTTGATTCTGTCTTCTTGAACTGCCCTTTGACATATTCTGTTCAGCTCTTTTACTTCTTCATTTCTTCCAGTTGTTTTAGCTTCTCTACTCTCAAGAGCAAGTTTCAGAGTCTCTCTGACATCCATTTTGGTCTTTTCTTTCTTATCTCTCTTTTTAATGACTTTTTGCTTTTTTCATGGATGATGTTCTAGATGTCATCCCATAGCTCTCCTGGTCATTAGTGTCTAATGCATCAGATCTGTTCTTGAAATGGTCTCTAAATTCAGGTGGGATATATTCAAGGTCATATTTTGGCTCTTGTGGACTTGTTTTATTTTTTTCAGATTCAGCCTTAACTTGAATATGAGCAATTAATGGTATATTTTGTAGTCTTCCCTTGATCTTGTTTTGGCTGATGATGAGTTTTTCTACCTGTTTATTCCCACAGATGTAGTCAATTTGATTCCTGTGTATTCCATCTGATATGGTACACATGTATCGTCCCCTTTTTAATGTTATTGATAAAAGGTATTTGCAATGAATAAGTTGTTGGTCTTGCAAAATTCTATCATGTAATCTCTAGTATCATTTCTATCGCTGGAGCCATATCTTCCAACTACCAATCTTTCCTCTTTGTTTTCAACTTTCACATTCCAATCACCAGTAATTATCAGTGCATCTTGATTACATGTTTGATCAACTTCAGACTGAAGAGCCTGGTAGAATTTTTTAATTTTATTATTATTGGCTTTAGTGTTTGATGCATAAATTAGAATAGTGGTATTCTTGTAGGCACATTGATTATTATTCTATCACAGCATTATACTTCAAGATAATTCTTGAAATGTTCTTTTTGACATGCCTTTCCTCTTCAGTTTGTCATTCCCAGAATAGTAAACCATATGATTGTCTAATTCAAAGTAGCCAGTATCCATCCATTTCAGCTTATTGATGCCCAGGAACTGATCTTTATCCATTCCATACCATTTTTTATGATTTTCAGTTTTCCTAGATTCATACTTCGTACATTCTGGGTTATGATTATGTTTATAATGGATGTTTGCAGCTGTTTCTTCACATTTTGAGGTATGGCCCATAAAGAAATGGAAGTCTCAAAAGTTTTGCTCCTTTCACGTCATTAAGGTTAACTCTACTTGGAGGAGGAAGCTCTTCCTCAATCATATTTTGAGTGTTTCCTGACCTGAGGGGCTCATCTGCAGCAGTGAAATATCTGATAAGCTTTCGCTGTTATTCTAAGGTTTTCAGTAGTTAACAATTCAGAAGTAATCCACTCACTCTCCTTCTTCCTAGTCTGCTTTAATCAGGAAGCTCCACTGAAACCTGTCTTCCATGGGTATTCCTGCTGGTATTTAAATACTGGTGGCATAGCTTCCAACATTACAGTAACACACAAGTCACAGAGGTATGACAAATTGACAGATGAGTAGTGGTCAGAAGTTTATGAACCATGTTTTGTTTTTGTATTCCAAAGCGATGTTCTTTCCACTACAACAATATACCTGCTCATTCTTTGAGGGTAGTAAAGGCTATCCTATGAGAATTTCATTGGAAAGACTTTCCCCATCCACCATACAACCCTGATCTTCCATCTTCAGTATTATTTTTGTTCCAAAATTTTAAAGAACATTTAAAAGGAACATAATTTGAGTCCCTCCTGAATGCCAAATCCCAATGGAAGAAAGACAACCCTGTGAATATTTACGGTCTTGGCTGCCATAAGGAGAATTCTGTTCCATTCATTCTAGTCTGGGTTGCAATGAGTCAGAATTGACCTGATGGCAGTGGGTTAGGATACAAAAACTACCATTTTGACATTTAAATTAAAGAATGAAAAATTCTTCTGGGAAGGGTTACAGTGATGGAAATACTGCTTATAGAAGTATATAGACCTAGATATAGGATATGTCAAGAAACAATAGCTTCAAATTTTTTAATCTTTGTCTAATAAAAACTTCTATAATTTTGTAGCAATGTTTTTTGACTTGTTGTATGCCATGGAGTTGGTTCTCATTCATCGTGACCTTGTATAGGGTTTTCAAGGCTGTAAATCTTCATGGGAGCAGAAAGCTTCCTCTTTCTCCTGTGGAATGGCTATTGGATTAGAACTGCTGACCTTGTGGTTAATAGCCCATGTGTAACCCAGTACACCACCATGGTTCCTTACCCTTGTACTAATACATGGGGGAAAAGTTGATGATTTCTTCAATGGAAAAAATAAGCTCACATTTTCCTCTTTTCTCCTATAGACATTGGACAAAGAAAGAGGACTGCTGGGGTATTCAGGAACTCTTTTGTGACCTTACCAATGAAACTGTAGGCATTCAAGAACCGTATTATGGGAGAGTTAAAGCAACTGCATCTAAGACCCACTCCAGCTGTAGCATGACCCCACGGTTCATTCCCTGGTGGGAAAGTGAGTTCCGTGGAGTTTCCATGCACTTGCTCTTCTTGAAGTTCAAAAGCCCTCATAGAACATGACCTGTTGCCTATTGCTCTCTCCACTAACTTAAAGGTTGGTGGTTCAAATCCACTCAGCAGCACTGACAAAGAAAGGCCTGGTGATCTGCTTCCCTAAAGATTGCAGACAAGATAACCTCATGGAGCAAGTCTACTCTGTCAAACATGGGGATACCACGAGTTAGAATCGATTCTACAGCGCTCATTGGTTTTGTTGTTGTTGTTTGGAAGAAGGGCTGTGATAAATGTATATGCAAATCTATAAACAGAAAAATATCTATCCTAGTATTTTCTTTTCCTCTTGACTGAAAATGACCACACACAAATGTATAAGACCCGCTATGGTATGACACAATACTAGGGGCTCAGCATTGGACATCCTTACTGAGAAGCTGGACTGACCACAGTAGGAAGAAGTACATATTGTTGAGTCTACATCTAACCTCCATCCCCTTCACAGTCATTTTGTTCCTGAGCCCATCAAGCAACTATGAGCTATTGGGGAAAGAAGCTATCACTGTGTGCACCTAGATTTTTGAGAGCATCTTTAGTTGATGCCTTTTGTTGTGCAGTCACATGGACACAGACATATTTACATTCTCCATCTTAGTACAGTCTAGATCCAGATGCTTTCCAGAACTACCACCATTGGCGTAGTGCACAACATTACAGTAGTCCACTTCTCACTGGTGCCAGTTTCTGGGAATCATGTTTACTAATTGGTCCTAGGGAACTTCTCAAGAGACCATAACTGTAGGGTAGGAAGAGGTGGTGAGGCACACTGAAGGATAAGCCACCTACTTTTGCAACTTACTTCAATGTTAAAATGTGCTAGAGACTTCACTTATATAATCTACTACTGATTAATGTTGTCATGTTGCTGTGCATTTTATGACTTGGTGTACCATCTGATACCAAGTTCATAGTGGAAAACTCAAATTGCATGGTTCTTCGATATCTCAAGGTCTGGTGTCCAGTTTTTACCAGAGCCCAGTTACAAGGAAATCTGGTGCTGTTTCTCAGAATAAGAGTAGTACTTTGCTAAAGAGGAAATCATTTTGTTCTAAAATTCCAGGGACCTGTGATCTGAGGTTGTCACAGTCTCCATATACTATTTTAATCTGCCACAGACATTTTGAGTATCATTATATCATCATGTTGGTCATCAATGGCAAGTGATACAGCTGCTTGATTGCAGCCTGGATAAGCTGGGAGAGATGTCTCTTACTCTTGGTCCACTCAAAGTCTTATGGAAGTGGGTAGCCAATAATGTTCCCAACAAGGTCAAGGAATCCTAGCTGTAGAAGTGCAGAGTGAGGCAACTTGTCTTTTACTTCAGAGGAATTGTCTCAACAAACCTCAGATATGTGGACCATCTGAAGTTTAATGACATTTAACTATAGCATATGTTTACATATATCCTACTAAACCATCTTCAATACCTAGCACTTTAGCCACACTAGATTCAATCAACATCATGTGATCAATTTAGTGGACCAACATGTTATTTCATGATGTGAGGACAAAGGACCCTTAGACTATATATGACAGAGACCCAGGACAACAATAAAAGTCAAGTGAAAGAAAACTATTCTGGTACTTCTAATTATTGTATTGTTGTTGTTAAGTGCCATCAAGTCAGTTCCAACTCATAGCTACTCTACATAGGGTTTCCAAGGAGCAACTGGTGAGTTTGAACTGCCAACCTTGTGGTTTGCAGTCCAATGCTGATGCCACAGTGCCACACCAGGAGTTCAACTATTGGATGTTATTGTTGTTAAGTGTCATCAAGTCAGTTCCAACTCATAGAGACCCTGTATAGGGTTTTCAAGGAGTGACTGGTGAGCTTGAACTGCCAACCTTGCAGTTCAAGCCAACCTTGAGGTTGAGCACTTATCCTGTAGCATTCTGAGGCCTTAAGGAGATTATCATCTTCTTAGAATCAGGGTCCATTATTGTCCAAAGGTCTCTATTTCCTGTCTCCTATTTGCAGTGACCTGGAGGAGAAGGATAAAAAGGAAGATTCAGAGAATAAACTTGTAGCATTAATGTCTCACATGCCTTCCAAATCTCACCCCAGTGGAATGTTCAATTAGGTTCAAACTAACTGGGTCCATCCTCAAATGCTAGATGCAATGGAATTCAGAAAAAGTTATTTTTAGTTTCTTCATCTCTTCAACTATCAAGAGTGTGGAATGGATGTTGAGCAAATCAATATATGGTATTAAGCACAGGGTTTCTTGGAATAATTTTATCTGGATTTACACCCAATACATTCGACCAACAATTCTTTAATGAAGGAAAAGAAAGTTAAATGACTAAATCAGTGCACATTGGTGAGGAGAATTTGTGGAATACTGTCTGGCGCTGTGGGTTAATGCACTGAACTGCAAAGCCTGCTTTAACTGCAAGGTCTGTGGTTCTAGCTCACCAGTTGCTCCTCAGAAACCCTATACAGGGTGGCCATGAGTCAGAACCGACTCAACGGCACACAAATATAACAACATGTTTACTATATTCAAACTTAGAAATGTAGTCAAGTTCAATTTTATTTCTCAAAGTCATTTTTCAGTGTGCTCTTAATCAGGCTGCTAACCTCAGGGTCAGCAGTTTGAAACTACCAGATGTTCCATGGGAGAGAGATAAGGCTTTCTGCTCCCATAAAGATTTACAGCCTCGGAAACCCTGTACAGGGTCGCTATGAGTCAGAACCGATTCCACAGCACATAACAACAACAACCATTAAATTAGTCAGGTAAGAATCGCCAATGAGGGAGATGTTGGCTAGCTCTACTTATATGTGGATATTGCTTCATTAAGAAGGGTTTGTTTTCTTTCTTTAAGTTCATCCCCATTTAAACATAAAATTAAAAAGAAAAACCTTAGGAAATGCTCTTTAGAATGCCTTTTTATGCAATGACCTTGCAGGTAGAAGAGTAAGAAACCCAGTTTACAAAAGAGTTTATGTTAGAACTATGTAATTGTGAAGAATCCTGCCCAGTGGGCATGTTCCTAGAGTCTGTGATAAGGGCCTAATGAGCCAACTAGATCTACTGACTCTACTGAAACCTGTTCTTGAGCAACAGGGTGTGATCATAAATGAACTAGTTTGGGATTACAATGATGCTCTTGGTGTCTATCTAGAGTCAAAGCACAATTATAAAAAACAAAAATCCTTAAATTAAAAATAGCATTGAGACTCAGAAAAAGTTCAGCATTATCTAATCCCACAATTGTGGGGATTAAAAACAGATGTGAGGTTTTGGAATAGACCCGATTTTCCAATAGAATGGACTACAATCTGATTAAATAATCCTTCCACAAGTATTCCTAAAGTACATGTGTCGCATGCAATGCTCTACATCCTGCCTGGGGATAAAAAAGGAAGCTGAGGAGGCCCAAAGGAGTCTTTCTACAGAGAGCTTTCATTTTAATGGGGAAGAAAAATATTAAGGAAATAATCTCACAACCAAGCATAAAATGATAGCTGTGACAAGTGGTACAAAACCACAGGGTTTATGAGAACCTGGTCAAAGATGAACGTAATCAGGAACGTCAGGAAAAGGAAATGGTCCTTGAGCTGATAGCCAAGGATGAGTTGGAGTTGACTAGACAGAGAAGGAAGAAGAGAGCGTTCCAAGTGAGGGAAACACTTGCAGAGGTAGGAGGAAGGAGTAGGAAGCATGGCAGATACAAGGGACTAAAGAGAGCTGCTGCAGTGAAGAAGAAGGGCAGGGATGATTCTGTGACAGAATTCTTGTCTTCCAGGAGAGAGACTGGTTTTGATTCCTGGCCCATGGACCTCCTGTGTAGCCACCACCCTTCTGACATTGGAGGTTTGCGTGTTGCTATGATGCTGAACAAGTGTCAAGGGAGCTTTCAGACTAAGGCAGTCTAGGAAGAAAGGCTTGGAGATCTACTTCCAAAAAACTCAGCCAATAATCAGATCCCCAACCAATCACAGGATGATGCATTTTGTGCCATTGTGCATAGGGTCCTATGAACTGACTTGAGGGAAACTAATAGCAATATAGTGAAGAAATGTAGACAAGAGGGGTCATGAAAAGAGGTAGGAATGGGGAGGTAGAATTACATTACAGAATGTTATGTACAGGAGTTTCGATTTCTTCCAGAGGAAAATATCAATCTTGATGAATATAACATTATCATCAGAAAAACTTATCACCTATTTATGAATTTATGTTGTTAGGTGTCAGAGATATCTCTTCATAAGTTTTTGGTGTGCAAATCTCTTTATTTAATAATGATTTGTCATTATGCGTAAAGTAGCTATGTGCAATAATTACATTTTTTAAATTTGTCAAAATTTCCTATTCTTTCATCAGCTAAAATAAACCCTCCTGCCATAAATATAACGCAACTTGATGGATCTTTGTTGGTCAGTCTCTGTGCTCCAAATTCACCATACAGAGACCAAAAAGGAAAAAATATATCAATGGAAAATTACTATAAATTAGTATACAGGGTGTTTATAATTAACAATTCACTAAAAAAGGTGAGTTCAGATAAATAAATGTTTGATATTTTTCTTTTATTTAACTAACATTTTAGCTATATAGTGTATCTCTTGATTGCTACTTTATCTCTCTTTTTTCATTTTTAAAACTCTTCTCTCTTTCATTATTATTTATAAAATATTAATTAGTATAAGTATCATCTTCAAAAGTTGTGTGTGCATGCGTATGTGTGTGGGAGCCCATATTAGGCTTGGTTCTCTGGAGAAGCAAAACCAGTGAAGTTTATACCAGGGGGCTTCAAAAAGTTTGAGAAAAAATGTAACTAAAAAATAATGGAATTTTTCTAAGAACTTTCTGAAGTCCCCTTGTGTGTGCACACACACACACACATATTCCGAGAGAGAGGGATTTATTTTAAAGGCACGGCTCATGAAATTGTGGAAACTGGTTAAGCCCCAAGTCTGTGGATCTGAAGGCTTCTCTTGACTCACATAGCTGCAGCGTGTGATGAACTCAACAATGATAAGTAGGATGGCAGCGTGCTGGCCCCCAGACTGTGGAGGTTAATGAACCCCAACATTGGCAGGCAATATTGGCAGACCACTGACTCAAGTCTTAAGAACCAAAGGTCAGATCATGATAAGCCAGAGTCAGGATCCAGATAAAGCAAAAGGCCAGAGAGCTTTGGCAGAACATCCATGTATGAGGGGGCTTCAAAATGTTCCTAGAAAAATAGATAGTGGAATTAATAGATAGTGGAAGTTTTCCATGAACCTTTTGAAACTCCCTTGTACATTAGATATAGGCCACACCCCAAATTCCCTTTCAACTGATTGGCTACTCATAGCAAAGCTCAATATGGAGGTGATTACATTATATTAGCTTTCATCATGGGAGATGGCTACATCATTGCATAACTGCCAAACTACATCTTAACTGTCAAACCATGGAGACCCATGGCCCTGTCAAGTCAACTTGCAACCTGACCATCAGAGTTCCTAGGTGGTACAATCAGCTAAGTGTTAAACTACAAACCAAAAGATCACCAGATTAAACCCACACAATGGTGCCTTAGGAAAAAAAAAAGGTCCAGAGCCTTGAAATCCCTAGCTGTTGTTGTTGATGAGTGTCTTGAGTCGGTTCCAACTTATAGTGTACCCTGTGTAGGGTTTCTGAGGAGAGACTGGTGGGTTTGAATCACCAAACTTTCGGGTAGCAGTCCTGTGCTTAATTTATCGAGTTGCTTGGAAAACCCTAAGAGGCACACAGTTCTAGTCTAACACTCATGGGATTACCATGAGTTGAAATTAACCAGATGACAAATAGTTTGGTTTTTGCCTGGGGGCAAGTGTGTATGCGTGCCTTCTCTGAGTGGTTTTCCCTGGATATCTCAAGCTTGGTATCAACAACATTTAATCAATTCCATCAGACTGCCACAAATATTTTTATGGACTTCATACACTTATTTTATTGTAACTTTTGGATTACAGCCTAATATTGTACTAACTTCCCTCTGATATTCTATACCACTGTCAGTGCCTTTATCTTAGTGTGATGATTCATTGAATATTCCCTTTTTGTTGTCCAACTAAAAAAGATTCCTTTGGTTGAAAGGAACAGAAATCCATTCAAACAAGTTCCAATTTAAAAAAAAAAAAAAAAGAGAAAGGAATGCACAAAGTAACTGTATCAAAAAGTATTGATCAGCAATCAACCTTTTCAAGAGGTAGCATAGCAGAATGGGCTCTACTCCAGTCACAGCAATTGATCTCGTATGAGTGTTAATAAAAAAAAAAAAAAAAAAAAAGAGGAGGGGAGAGGAAGAGTTTATAAAGCAATAGGTAGTGATCTCATGGATTAACAGAAGCAGGAAATGAAGCCAGGCTTTGTAGTGACTAAACAAGGGAAAAGGAGAAGTAAATTCCTCTTAGTCTCTCTGACTTTCTGTCACTGTGTGACACATTGCTCAGTGTCCATGGTTATCTCTACAAGTTTATTCTGCTCAGTTCAAATTCTTGAAAGACAAATTCTGATTGGCCCTGGTTCAACCAACAGTGATCAAGAAGAAGCTATATAATGTTACCTTAGACTGCAGTCTTTGATCTTCATCAGTTAGCATTTTAGTCCTCTTTGATTTCAACAAGCAAGGTTGTGTCATCTACATATTGTGCTATAAAGTCATAGAAACCCTATAAGTATTGTGGTTAGGATTTATAGCACATATTTTCGGGTGGAACAATTCAATTTATAACAAGTGCCTGCTGTCCTTTCACCAGACTATTAAAGGGGGCTCAGGAGCAGGAGGTTGGATGTAGGAAGGAACCCCAAACTTAGAATACCAAATACTCATATACCACTACTAATTATCCATGTACAGCTTATTAGTTTTATCAAAATTCGAGCAAATCAATGACTTACTGAAAGCATTTATTCTCAGATTTTTATTCCTTGTGTTTAGGAGCAAAAGGTTGACGAAGGAGCTGACAGAGTTGTTGAAATTGAAGCTCAAACACTTCACACAGGATACTGCGTAGTGGCTGAAATATATCAGCCCCTGTTAGACAGAAGAAGTCAGAGAAGTCAAAAGAGATGCGTGGAAATTCTGTGAAGCAGAGTTAGCTGCTCCCCAGCGTGCAGCTTAAAAGCTCTCCGAGATGGAAGATTTATTTTTGAAGGGTCTTATTTGAGATAATTTTTATTTTTTCTTAATGTTTAACAATATACTTTGGAGACTTCATTGTTTATCCATTCTTTCTTCCTTTATCTTTCATCTTTATAAATTCTATTTAAACAAAAAACAAAAGAAAAGCATTTGAATTTAAAGAGACTAAATATACAGAACTGTATAAAATATAGAACTTAATTTCTGAATTCCTATCTATAATTTTTCTTCTAAGTAAAATAAAAATTTAAGAACAAGGAATAGTAGGCATTGAACAAAAATGTTGCATCCATTATATATATATATATATTTAATATATGTTAACTATATCTTATAGGAAACCATCTGAACTGCAAGGTCAGTGGTTCAAGCTCACAAGCTGTTCCTCAGAAACCCTATATAGGGTCACTATGGGTTGGAATTGACTCGACAGCACTTAACAACAACAACATATCTTATAGGATTAATGTATTAAATATCTTAATTATAAAATAGATAATAAATATTTTAATTGTGTTGTTGTTGAGTGCCATTGAGTCAGTCCCAACTCATAATGACCCTGTACAGGGTTTCCTAGGACCAGTTGATATATTTGAACCACCAACCTGGCAGTTAGCAGTCTAATGCTTATCCTATAGCACCACACCAAGACACCATATTAATTATACATAATATAATTCATAGATTAATTACACATAATTAATACAATATTTTATTATATATTACTTGAATATATTAATTGTATCTCATAATTAATGCAATTATATATTAATGAATATAACATATATAATTATATAGGTAATGTAATATATACAATCAAATAATACAATTACAATAATATATGATTATGTTATTGTTGTTAAGTGTCACTGAGTTGACTCATAGTGACCCTGTATAGGATTTCCAAGGAGTGGCTGGTGAACTTGAACTGTGGACTTTGTGGTTCAAGCCAATGTTGCAGTCCAGTGCATTAACCTACAGCGCCGTAGCAGGTCTATGTAATACAACATTTGAGCTCTGGTAACATAGTGGTTATGAATTGGGCTGCGAACCTCAAGGTCAGCAGTTTGAAACTACCAGCCACTCCACGGGAGAAAGATGAGGCTTTCTGCTCCCGTAAAAATTTACAGCCTCGGAAACCTTGTCCAATGGGTCGGAATCGACTCGACAGCACTTAAATAGTGTATGTTAAATAGTAGACATTGAATAAAATTGCGCCAGACTGCAAAGCCGTTTGAACTGCAAGGTCAGTAGTTTAAGCTCACCAGCTGCACCTCGGAAACCCTCTACTGGGTCCCTATGTGTCAGAACCAACTCGATGGCACTTCACAACAACAACAACAATTATCTATAGTACATATAATTAATACAACTGCATACATATCTGCATATGTATGTATGTATGTATATGTTATTGTTGTGGTTAAGTGCCTTGGAGTTGGCTCTGACTCATAGCCGCCTTGTATAGGGGTTCCACGGCTGTAAATCTTTATTTAGCTAGTTAATTTGAAATAGATATACTCATTTAACATTTTTATTTAATGTTTTCCACTTGAAATAAAATTCTTAAATCTCTGAATTAATGTCTGGATTGTGATTATCAGCACTATCTGAAATACTGAAACTAGCCTACTCAATTTCTCTTCATTTAACATATACTCAAATTGTTGTCATTATTAAATGCATTGAGGTTGATTCTGACTTATAGCCACCCTGTATGGGGTTTCCTTGGCTGTAAATCTTTATGGGAGCAAAAATAGCTGGTGGATTTGCACTGCCTAACTTGCAGTTAGCAGTCCAGTGCTTATCCTATAGCACCATACCAGGACTCCATATGCACATTAAGTTCTGTTTTTTTGTTGTTGTTGTTTTCGATATTGCCTTAGAAAAATTGTACTTATTTATCAAATTAGTTACAACATTTTTCAGCAAGGAGGAAGAAAAGAAACCTGAACTCCAAATCTATGCTATATTCCCACTCACCACTTCTGACACTTACCATTGGCAATTTCACAATGCCTATGTACAAGAACTCCTGTGAATGACAGTGACTGGTGACATGAAGAAGGGGAGAAACCAGATAGAGAACTTGGCTTCAAACTAAAATTACACACTCAAATGGTTGGGCAGATGCTGATAAAGAATATGTTGTTGTAAGTGCTGACCCACAGCACCCCTGTACAGGGTTTCTGAGTTGCAGCTGATGGGTTTGAACTGCTGACCTTCTGATTAGCAGTCCAGTGCTTATCCTACTGGCCAACAAAGGGCCAATTAAAGCCCCAAGCCATCTGCTGGAAACTCCTTTATTTTCCCCAACAAACGTCCAGTGGTGCTAAGATTCTACGTAGTGAACAAAATTCTTTTTTTTTCTTTCCCATATGGTTAGAGAAAATAAATTTTACCATAGACTTAAAGACTGAAAACAGTTACTTTTACTTATGTGTTTACCTTTTGTCCTATTTGTTTTGGGGGAGGATAAGGTGGATGATATAGTTGGGAATAAATTAAGAGCAACTGAGTGGCTGGAGAGAGGTAGGTGTAGCCTATTACATTTATATATTTATGAAATGGTGCTGTAGGACAAGCACTGAACTACAAGATCGGTTTGAACTATAAGGTCAGCAATTCAAACTCACCAGCCGCTCCTCGGATATCCTAGACAGAGTCACTCACTATGAGTCGGAACAGACTCAATGGCACTTAACAGCAACAACAATATAGTTTTCAAGGCTGATGAAGAAAAGTTCTGTTACTTCATGAAAGTTATTAAATGCACCAAGGTTTGCTTTCATTTTGTACATCTTGCTTTGTTTTTACCATTATGCTTAGGCAAGTTACTATAAAATACTTATGAAAATGGTAATTAGCACATTTGTCGCTATATTAAGAGTATGTTGCCATACTATTTCAATAAATCGTTTCGTCATTTCAATTTTATTTGGAGGTGTTGGTTACTCAGGTATTTTAAAGGAAACATTTTGTTTTTAAGTTTGTCAGAAGACTTCTTAAACCACAATTAGGGGTCCTGGTGGTACCATGGTTAAGCACTCAGCTGCTAACCAAAATGTCAGAAGTTTGAACCCACCAGTCACTTTTGGGGAGAATAGACCTGTTGATCTGTTCCCATAAAACTTTACATCCTAGGAAATTCTATAGGATAGTTCTATTTTGTCATATAGGGTCAGTATGATTTGGAATTGACTGGAGGGAATCTAACAGTCCACACTAAACTCCAGCTGGACAGAAACAAACAATATTCAGCAGGACTTTAGGCAGTCACTAATGTTATCTTTATTGATGAAGATCAAAGACCACAGCCTTCAGTATGTGTTGATTCTCAATGTAAAAGAAACAAAAATCCTCACCACTGAACTAATAAACAACATCATGATGAATGGAGCAAAGACTGAATTTGTCAATGACTTCATTTTGCTCAGATCAACCATCAACACTCATGGAAGCAGCAGTCAAGAAATCAAATGACCATCCAGCTGATATGAAGTAAGGGGAGATGCACAAGAACACCCAAACTTGCAGATAGTGCCCATTTAACCTAGCTTCGATAGCTTGATAGATCAGAACTCGACTAGAGGAAGATAAAAAAAAATATTAATAAAGGAAGCAAGTGTAAATTGCTACAATTTGAGGAACTTGACCTATACTTATGGATGTAGTGCTGAAAATACCAACTGAGAGGGGAGGAATCTTCACATCAAGGATTAATTCTATCCTCTTTGTTCATAGGGTTGATAGGGATGGACAACTTAGACACTGGCTATCTAAACTGGGGGGGTAAGGGGTGAAGAGGCAATAAAGGAATGATGTGACTGGCTTACAGTTTTCTAGACAGAATTAATTTCAGAGACGAGTATGCAAATGGACCTCACAAATGGAATACATAGAAATCAAATTGACTACATCTGTGGAAAGAGACAATGGAAAAACTCCATATCAACAGTGAAAACAAGGCCAGGGGCAGACTTTGGAACAGACCATCAATTACTCATATGCAAATTCAAATTGAAGCTGAAGAAAATGAAAACAAGTCCATAAGAGCCAAAATATGACCTTGAATATATCCCACCTGAATTTAGAGATCAGCTGAAGAACAGATTTGATACTTTACACACTAAAGACCGAAGACCAGACTATTTATGGAATGACATCAAGAACATTATACAGGAAGAAACCAAAAAGTGATTAAGAAGACAAGAAAGAAGGAAAAGATCAAAATGCATGCCAGAAGAGTCACTGAAACTTGCTCTCCAGTGTAGAAATACTAAAGCAAATGGAAGCAATGAGGAGGTACAAAAGCTGAATAGAAAAATTCAAAGGTCAGCTCCAGAAGACAAAGTCAAATATCACAACAAAATGTGCAAAGATCTGGAGTCAGAAAACCAAAAAGGAAGAA